CCAGCTGGATACACCCCCATCACAGGCGTTCCAGTTTGATATACTCTCATCACATGCGTACCAGCTGGAACTACTCTCATCACAGGCGAACCGCCTGGATATACTCCGTCACAGGCGAACCACTGGATATACTCTCGTCACACGCGAACCCGCTGGATATACTCTCGTCGCAGGCGTACCAACTGGATATACTCTCGTCACAGGCGTACCAACTGGATATACTTCTCGTCACAGGCGTACCAACTGGATATACTCTCGTCACAGGCGTACCAACTGGATATACTCTCGTCACAGGCGTACCAACTGGATATACTCTCGTCACAGGGCGTACCAACTGGATTATACTCTCGTCGCAGGCGTACCAACCTGGATATACTGTCGTCACAAGGCGTGCCAACTGGATATACTCTCGTCACAGGCGTGCCAACTGGATATACTCTCGTCACAGGCGTGCCAACTGGATATACTCTCGTCACAGGCGTGCCAACTGGATACACTTTCATCACACGCGTAACAGCTGGATATACTCTCATCACACGCGTACCAGCTGAACACACCCTCATCACAGGCGTACCAGCTGGACACATCCTCATCACCCGCGTACCGTGAGATGTACCGCTGGATGTTAACCGCCCCGTAATCGGGTGTCATCATCACCGGCATCGGCTCCGGCGGTGTTTAGCCAATAGCTGTAGTCGTTACGCTGGGCATACTCGCAACTTCTCGTTGCCGCTGCAGAAGACGTACGGCATGGTGGTGAACTTGAGCAGGCAGGAGCCTGGCGTACCTGTGGTGCGTTCACATCAGGCGTTAAGGCGGACTCTGCATGCGGACTCAGAGTGTATGCGTGCACTGGCATGGTGGGACGCGCGGGTCTACGTCCAGGATCATTATAGAGTCTGAAACTGCGCTCACCGAGGTCGGCGCCGTGAGCCTTGGCATTCCCAGTGACGTGCAGCAGCGAGTAGCCCTGCCACAGCTGGCTGGTGCCGGGCGGACACTGCGGCACGTACGTCGACTGGCTGTGCGCGTGAAGAAGAAGCCGCGCGAGGGCGGCGGCGGCCCGGTCTGCGGCGCGTCGTCGCCAGGAGGGCCCCGGCCTCCCGGCGGGCCGTAGGGCCCGGGCGGGCCGCGGCCGCCGGGGTCGCCGGTGGGCCCGGGCGGGGCCCGGCCGCCAGCCGGGCGGGGCCGCGCAGGCCGGGCAGGCCCGGCTCTCCCAACCCGCCCGGCAGGCCGTCCAACCCCGGCAGGCCGGGCTCGCCGGGCCGGCCGGCCAGCCCGGGGAAGCCGTCCGGGCCGGCGTCGCCGGCAGGCCAGGTCCGCCGTCCAGCCAGGTGCCGGGCGCGCCGGGGCAACCCCGCTGGCCGCGCCGGCCCGGCGAGCCAGGCAGGCCGTCCAGGCCGCGGTCCGCCTGGCCGGCCCGGGTTCCCGCCCCGGCCGTCCAGGCCGGGAAGGCCGGGGCTCGCCCTTATAGCCTCTCGGTCCGGGCAGACCGTCGAGGGCCGGGTAGCCGGGCTCACCCCGCTGGCCGCTGCCGGGAGGGCGAGGCACAGGTCAGAGCGGCGCAGGTCAGACGCGCTGCTGCCGGGTGCGGCAGGTGCAGGTCAAGATAGGCCTAGACACCGCAAATAGGTCACGACTGGGGCAATGGGCAGAGGCGTAGCCAAGAGAGGAGCTTTTGGGCCCATACCCCTGGGGGTGGCGGGGGAGAGGGGTCTGAGACCGATGCCCCCCAGTTCTTTGCATTTTAAAGCCTCGAAATTTGAATGGATTGCAAAACATAAAATAGACTCGCTAGGCATCAGAATAGGACCCCTAGCCTCAAAATGAACTCCGAATAAAAACAAAGGGCCCAAAGCGGCAAAAGAAGACCCCGTTGACTGAAAGGGCCCCCTGTGACCCAATTTGGTCCCCTCCAGGGGGAAACCCTGGCTACGCCACTGAATGGTGACCGTGCTGTCCGCGCATTGAAGAGCGGGGCACAGTCTGCACCATCGCCGCCTGCCAGGCCGGCACATTCTGCACACTGAGAAAACACATTAGCTCAAGCCACGTGCCGATTGTTTAAAAGCTTCTCGCGCATTAGGACCAATCCTTTCCATTTCAAACCATGTTAGGACTGTTTCTTTGTACCGTCACGGCTGCAAAGCTGATCGCTCTCAACACTTCACCGTCTTTGCTTCCGCCAAATCACACCACCCTGCTGGTGGCGGCGGTGACGGCGGCCCCTGACTCACGGCAAGCCCGGCGGTGCGTCCAGACCCCTGTCGCCGGACGGTCCCGGTCTACCGTCGGGCCCGGCTGGCCCCGGCTGGCCTGGCCCACCGTCGCGGCCCGGCACGCCGTCTCTGCCGGGGCCGCCGTCGTAGCCGCGCTCGCCCTTGGGTGAGATCCCGGGCGGCCCGTCGAAGCCGGGCAGGCCGGGCAGGCCGCTGTCGCCGTCATCGCCAGGGTCTCCGGCCGGGCCGGACGGGCCACTGATGCCCGGCAGACCCGGCGACCCGTCCGTGCCCCGCTCGCCTCCGCGACCGACGCTGCCGGGCCCGGGCGGGCCCGCGCGGGCCGCCGTCGCCCGGCTGGCCCCGGCCGCCGGCGCGGCCGGGCAGGCCGTCCGGACCCGCGCCAGCCCTGGCTCGCCCGGTCGGCCGGTGGGTCCGCCCGGGCCCGCCGGGCCGGGGAGGCCCGGAAGGCCCGGGTTGCCCTTCAGGCCCAGCCGACCCGGGCAGCCGCGCTTGCCGGCCAGGCCTGGCAGTCCGGGTGGCCCGTCATGGCCCGGTGGTCCGTTGAAGCCGTCCTGGCCCGGGAGACCGGGCCGACCGCTGCGCCGACCCGGTCCTCCAGGTAGGCCTGCGGCAGAAACCGCGTCATTTTGCGGCAGCAGCGCTTCGCAAGGGTGTTATACCCCAGATGTGTTACATCCCCGCAGAGGTGTTACACCCCCGCAGAGGTGTTACACCCCCGCAGAGATGCTACACCCCCGCAGAGATGTTACACCCCGAAGAGGCGTTACAACCCGCATAGACGTTACAACCTCACAGGTGTTAGATCCCCACAGAGGTGTTACACCCATACAGAGCTATTACACCCCACTCAGGTGCTAAACAGCACCGCGGTGTCATGCAATGCAGGGTTCTTACACAGCTGAGGAGCGATGTGCGGTGCATTGGAGTTTCACAGCGCAGGGGTGTAGCGATGCTAGACAGCACAAGAGTGTGACGCGGCGTGGGAGTGTTGCACGTCGCGTCACACTGGTTACCTCACTGATCACGACGCGTCACACGCGTGTGACGGATCACGGGTGTGTGAGGGTGAACAGCGGTGTTGTACTCTGCAGGGGTGTTACACGCTGTGACTCTACTGGGATCTCGCAGAGCGAAGGGGTGTTACACCGTTCAGACGTGCTGCGCGGTGCGAGGGTGCTGCATCGTGCAAGTGGAGTTGCACGTCAAGTGGGTGCCACGCGCCAGAAGGGTACCGCTCAAAGCAAGCGTTCCATGGCGCACTGTCTCCGTTCAGAGTTCAACGATCCACTGGCACAGGAGGCGATAGCCCCTCGCAGAATCTACGGCGCTGAGACTTTACGCCAGTGCATTTTCTTCAAGATTCCACAAAACCGCATTTCAGTAAGCAGGTCCGCTTTGTGATTCCATAGGGTACTTTTCGCCTGAAGAGATGCGTTGAAGATTGACGATTGATCTGATAAGCTCACCAGAAAAAACTCACGAAAAAGCACTCACAATAATTGGCACGTGGGCGGATGAGGCACCCCGCAAAATGAAGACAAACGAGGTCAAATGTGACGCGACGTCCAGTGCAATTAGTTACCACATCCGGCCTGGACATGACCCTCAAAAAGTGCGCCGGGAGGGGGGGGGGCATGATTCAAGACGCCTGGGCCATTGGGCACTGAGCTCAGTTCAGCATGAGGCGCCCCCCGCCCCCCCCCCCGCAATTTAGGACACCTCAGTTATGGTCACTTCATGTTGTGGGGGTTTCCAAACACGATTTCTACAAGCAAGTTACGTCGTGGAAAGTAAGGATTTAGATCAGGAGGAAGTCGCAGGCCTGTTTTCGTTTTGGCTGGTCAAAGGTGGTTGAAAACTTCGGCCTATTCCTTCTTGGCCGCTTAAAGAATCACTTGCCATTTGTTTCCACCAATTTCATCCCAGCGAACTATCGTTGACCCCATCCACTTCCATAGAGAAGCTTAACATGTCGCCCGTTACTTACTTAGACACGACGAGGGCTGATTTTGTTTTTTCAGCTCAAGTGTCTGTCACCCTTTAAACAATAACCTGACATGTGTTTAACAATGTCACCAAACCGCAGTCGGACAATAAGACGTGCCTGAACATTGTAATACACCACCGTATTGTGTAGCGTTTTACCAGCATTTCTCCGCGCTGAGGCTGTGCGGAATTTTGTTTGTAAACATCAATATCAGCAGCACCGTTTCGAACAGTAAATTTCGCCCAGATTATGCAGTCTCAAACTGTCTCGTCTACGAGGATCACCAACCACGTCGCAATGCTCAGTGCCAGTGCTCAGTGCTCAGTGCCAGCACTCAGTGCTCAGTGCCAGCGCTCAGTGCTCAGTGCTCAGTGCCAGCACTCAGTGCTCAGTGCCAGTGCTCAGTGCTCAGTGCCAGCACTCAGTGCTCAGTGCCAGCACTCAGTGCTCAGTGCCAGCGCTCAGTGCTCAGTGCTCAGTGCCAGCACTCAGTGCTCAGTGCCAGTGCTCAGTGCTCAGTGCCAGCACTCAGTGCTCAGTGCCAGCACTCAGTGCTCAGTGCCAGCGCTCAGTGCTCAGTGCTCAGTGCTCAGTGCCAGTGCTCAGTGCTCAGTGCCAGCACTCGGTGCTCAGTGCCCGCGCTCAGTGCTCAGTGCTCAGTGCCAGCGCTCAGTGCTCAGTGCTCAGTGCCAGCGCTCAGTGCTCAGTGTCAGTGCTCAGTGCCAGTGCTCAGCGCTCAGTGCCAGCTCTCAGTGCTCAGTGCTCAGTGCTTAGTGCTCAGTGATAAACCCCAGCACACTATTGGTCCGTCCTGGCCACGGGCCGAATGACGTCATACCTGGGCGGCCAGGTGTGCCAGAATCGCCGGCGGGACCGAGCAGGCCGGGCATGCCTTCCAGGCCGGGCATGCCCCGGTCGCCGCCGAAGCCGGGCGAGCCGGGCCGGCCGCGAGGACCCCGCGGGCCCGGCCGACCGTCGACGCCTGGATCCCCACGTGGGCCCGGCAGGCCCGGCAGGCGGTTCGTGTCCCCGGGCAAGCCCTGCGGAATCAGGTCAGGGCAGGTCAGGTCAGACACACGGTACACGGCCCAGCACAGGGACGATGGGTGTGTCATTCCCGACGGTCTGCGCACGCCACCCGGCGGGATAGCTTGTCCAGGGGCAAGGTCGCTCTAAAATACATCAGGCGCAAAATGGCTGGCGGGCACAGAGCCGTCGCCAAGTTGCGTTCACGCCGCCCGCTTCAAACTCATTTCGCTTCGCTGTCCGTCGGGGTTTACAAAAACTGAGGCAAGTTTAAGAGCCTCCGCACAGTCTCCGGTGCGATAACCACGAGCAGAGAGTCGCACCTAACCACCACAGCCAGCTAAGTAAACATGGCACGTCGACCACGCACGCTCGGCTGCGGACGGGCGGAGCGTCGCACGCACCTTGAGACCGACTCGGCCATTCGGTCCAGGCGGTCCGCGGTCCCCGGGACCGCCGGACGGGCCGGGCAGGCCGGGGAGGCCGTCGCCGGGCGGTCCGGGCAGTCCGGGCAGCCCGTCCGGGCCCATGGTGCCGGGCCAGCCAGGTGGGCCGGGCAGGCCGATTTTGCCCGGGCAGCCGCGCTTGGAGGCCGAACCGGGCTCGCCGGGCGGGCCCGGAGGCCCCGGTGGGCCGTACACGCCGCTCGCACCCTTGTCGCCGGGCGCGCCCGGGGGCCAGCCCTGGGGCCCCGGAGGCCCAGGTTCACCGACGGAGCCCTTCTGGGCGCCCCGGCCCGGTGGGCCCGGCCGTCCCGGCAGGCCGGCCGGACCTGACGGAGAGACGGGCGCGTCAGGGCACCACAGCCAATCACAGACACGGGTGAGTGACGTCCCGACATTGCAACCAATCACGGGCGGTCTGGGCACCGCGGCCAGTGATGAACACGGGATTTCCGTCACACTCGTCGTTCGACTTACACGCGGCTCAAAAGGCAAACGACGACAACAGACAGACAGACAGACAGGCGCACTCTGTTCATATAGTTATCATGCTCTTGGTGAAGTTTGGCGGTGGGGGGGGGGGGATACTGACGTTTATTCTTCTCACGTTACGTGACTGATCGTAATGTAAACGTAGCGATCAATCTGTGCGCAATGTGCGAACGGCTGACATCACGGTGCTTCAACCAATCGCAGACGACAGGCATCGCAGGGAGGCTGACGTTTGGGTATCCCAACCAATCACAGCTGAGCGGGACGGCTGACGTCTGGGCGGCAACCAATCACGGATGCTGGGCATTGGGCATTCAACCCGTGTAGTCTGATTTCATGCTACCAAAATCAAGCGCAGGCATGGGTTTGGCAGATAACATCGCCACTGAAAAAATGCAGGCAGCTGACGGCAAACAGAGCCAGCGGCATGAGGCAAGCGCTTGCCGAGCCCATCCCACGGAGAAAAGACGGCCGTTTAGCCTGGAGTCAGCCGCGGAGAAGTCGAGCCGGGGGGAGAGGGTGAGGGAGCGCTGGTAGCCGACCCGCGCGGAGCACGCACCTGGGTTTTCTGCTATCGTCGCCGCGCAGGCCGGCCGGTCCGTCGATCCCAGGCCGGCCGGGGCCTCCGGGCGCACCCGCGGCGGCCCGGCTGCCCCGGCTGCCCGGGCTCGCCGCGGCCCCGCGCTCGGACCCTGCTCGCCGGGCATGCCCGGCTGCCCGACCAGGCCGCGCAGGCCGGGCACGCCGTCGGGGCCCGGCAGGCCCAGCTCGCCGGGCAGGCCGGGCAGGCCGACGCGGCCGGGCGGACCCGGCCGGCCGGGCCGGCTGTCGCCTGGTGGGCCTCGTGCCCCCTGTCGGCACACGACCGTGACCTCAATGCAGGACGACCTCCGGGCCGGTGGGTCAGCAGCCCCACCGGTCACAGAGCGGGCTCCGCCGGACTAACCTAGCACGGTTACTGTTGCTTTTACCGTAGCTGTAACTGTTAGTGTAACCCATCATTGTTACGCAATAAACCTTACCGCCGTCGTATCGCCACAGAGCCGCGGGCCTATTGTAGCCCAACGGGCCTATTGTGGCACTCAGGATCCTATTTTGGCGCCCAAGGGTCTACTGTGACACACAGGGCCCTAGACAGCCATCTAGGAAGGGCCTTTTTAGCAAGGTGGACGGCATATAACGCATTAACCATCTGACTTCCTGCCTAACGTTTCATCTGTCCATCTGTTTACCTGCCTTTTTGTTCATTTAGTTGCATATATGACTGTCCATCTGTTTAGCCTTCTACCTGTCTTTCACGTTTCTTCCTGTGTGACAACTGTTACTTCGTCTGGCTATCAATTTTTGAAATATAAGCATCCATTCATAGGTCACCCATGCATCTAGCCACACACAGGACCGGTTACCTGATCAGCACGTGGCGGCGAATAACTACCGCTACGCGCCAATTCCCCAATCACCATCCTCTGCCCGTTCAAAAGCCCCTGCGACGCCCGGCGGCCGCACCTTGAAGCCGGGTGTCCCATCCGGAGCGCTGTCGCCCGGCCGTCCAGGTCTGCCGGACGGTCCGCGCGGTCCGGGCAGTCCGTCCGATCCGTCCGGCCCGCGCCGGCCGGGCTCGCCGGGCAGGCCGTCCGGCGCACTGGGTCCGGGCGTGCCGGGCAGGATGGGCAGCCCGGGTCGCCGGGGAAGCCGGGCAGGCCGGGCCAGCCCTGCCCGCAGGGGAACGGAGGTCAAAGGTCAAGCACTGCGTCGAGGCCAGACGGCGGACGCAGCAGAAACGCGACGGAAAAACAGCGGAACGCAGCGGTCAAAGGCAGCGGAAAAATACGGGCCTGCTGCCGTCCAGGGCGCAGAAAGGCGGCACGGTGGTGGCACGAGCGCCGACAGGCGGCACGGCGGTGACACGAGTGCCGACAGGCGGCACGGCGGTGACACGATCGCCGACAGAGCAGCTCCGGACACGGTGCAGCGCAGCACGAACCACGCATAGCAGGAGTACCCTTGAATGGACCACGCGAACCGCACTGGCCACGCGCGCGGAGCCGCTCGGCGGTGCGCGGTGTGCGCGCCCCTGACCTGGTCTCCGCCCCGGCCGGGCTGTCCGTCAGCGCCGGCCAGGCCGGGCAGGCCGGCCCCGCCCGGGCCTCCCGGGAAGCCCTTGAAGCCGGGCGGACCGCGGAGTGAGGGCCCCGGCGGCCCCGGCCACCCTCGCGGCCCGATTCGACCCGGGCAGCCGCGGAAGCCCGGGGGCCCGTTCAGGCCCGGTGGACCTGCAACAGGACTCGTCATGGTGCTGTCGCTGGGGATGGGCCCGGCGGTGATTGGAAACACCGCCGTAGAGCATTTAATAACGTTACGTTTCGGGGGGCAACTTAAAAAATGTCATTGCATTGGAAGACAAACACGCGACAACGCGATTATGACAAATCATACGGGTATGTTCGGGTTTCAGTAGCATTTGGTCTTTCAGTATTTAATCTTATATATGAATGCCTGGGGTCGGAACGGAAGCAGCTGCAAAACATCAGAGGGCGCTGCCACTTCGAAAAAGCCAGGAAGTTGTGCCTGCGTTATCACAGTGCTCGCTGGCGCTTCTGTTCAAGAATTAGAGCGAAGTTGGACCATCATTAAGCTTCCGGCACCCTCGGGCTACCACTTGTACAAGCACGTTCCACGGCGGTGAAGAGAATTCAAACCGGTGCTGTGCTGCAGACAATGGACGTTTGTCGCGTTGTTAGCCGGCACGTTTCATCAGTTCCCCGCACTCTCGCGCGTGACAACCGCCCGCCCGCAGCCGCCGCCGCGCCGCGCCGACCGGCCGAGCGCGCGGCGTCGGCCGCCCACCTGGAAAGCCGGGTTCGCCGGGCTCGCCCGGCCTGCCGCGGCCAACATCGGGCTCGCTGGCGTCTCCTGGCTCCCCCGGCGGCCCGTCCGGGCCGTCCAGTCCCGGCGGTCCGCTGCAAAGAAGGCGGGTGTTGAGCACGCGCGCTTGATGGCTTGATGCTGGGGTGCGGCACAGAGCGGGCAATGACGGACGACGCCAAGGCAGGCCCGTCGCGTCGAGCTCCACCACGGCCGACATCAGGGCAGTCCGTGACCACGTGCGAAACAGGGAAGGCCGGGACCACGCGGCTCCTAGGAAGGTCAACATTGTACAAGGCCAAGGGTGGTGCAGTGTGGCGCGCGGGACATTTGCCGGGTGCAGTACTCACGTTCGGGAGTGAGGGTAGGATGAATGGGGTGCAACTCGGGTCAGGACTTAATTGACGGCCTCGTAGGTGCGAACATTCCAAACAACGCTTAGCGTCTTTTCTCTTAATTTTGACTTCACATATATGTCGCAGAACGTCTTACATTTTGGAGTCAAAGGCGGTTCCACAACGTCGCCTTTAGGGGGGGGGGGGCAGGGGAACAGCACCTGCTTGGGGGAAAAATAGAAAAGGTGTCCTGATTTTGAAAAGCTCATCTCATTCTGCTTAATTTATCTCCAGGGTGTCCTAAAGCAAATGTTTCTGCATAAGTGCTGCTTAGATTCCATTCGACCTCCAGAATTATCATTTCTTGCCAGACTTTGGCCATCTTGGTGTGTGGGGAGGGGGTTGGTCGTTATGAATCCGCCTCTGACTGAAGTGTTTCAGACATGATCTCTCCGGAATAAGAGGATCATGCCCGCCCTTCGGATCGAGCTGCTTGTCTAGGCTCACCACCGCCGATCATCTTGGCTGTGCCGCTCTAAAGCCTCCCATTTTCAGGAGCACCCCTAATAGTCGCCATATAATTAATATTCATTTGCTAATAATTCCAATCATCGTCATCAGGCTTGTCGCTCCTAAGAGCCGAACCCCCAGCTGCGCCCCGCCCCCTCCCCCCTCCGGGCTCTCCAGGTCAGCCTGCCGGACACCGGACGGAGTCGGTGTTCGAGACGCTACCAGCAGCCGGCCCCGAGCCAGGACAAGACCGCTCTCAAAGCTCGCTCGTGGACGGAGCGGGACCTCCACTGCAGCTCACTGTCGGACGGTGTGAGACAACTCGCCGCTTAGTCGCAGCAGGGACGAGTGCTTACTCTAGGCCGGGCGGACCGCTCTCTCCCTTCAGGTAGAAGACGTTGAACGTGTCGGCGTCCGTGCCCGGACGTCCGGGCCGGCCGTCGGTGCCGTCCAGTCCCGGCAGACCGGGCTCGCCGTACTCGCCCTGGGGTTAGCGTTCAGGAGTCAGGTCAGCACTCGCGGAAGCCCTACAACGCGCTGACGGTCATAGAAATCGGACGGTGCAATGACGTGACGAAGGGAAAAGCCGACCATAGTGCGACATGATGGTGAGATCTTTGGCGTGACATCATGACATTTTCCCCATACCAAGCCATACCATAGCCATACCATAGCCATACCAAGTACCAAAGATCACAGAGATAAAGATTCACCATAAGTTGTCACATCAGTTGCTGTGAGATCATTAGCAAAATGATCATGGCGCATAGCGAACTTGTATATTGAGACACACACGCCAACATCACCAACGATGCCGCGCCGAAAATGTTTGTCACGTAACCGTTACAGGAGTCGAAGCTAACCGTTAGCTCCAATGTGGTAGGCTCGAGGCAGCAGGTTCAAGATAGCTAAAGGCAGGGGTAGCTTCGACCTACCCCTGCCTGGTAGAAATTATGACGTTGCTCATCATCCGTCTAAAAATTCACTCTGTTTTCTTATTAATTATTTAATTATTTAATAATATTTTTTATATGATATATATATATATATATATATATATATATATATGTATATAATTTATGCAATAAATATAATAATTATTTAAATTTTAGGCATCACCAGTATTTTACGCACACATGAGCCGTCATGAGATTTGACAGTCCCATCCCCGTCCACGGTGATGAAGTGTCAGTCTCATATTCGCCCAGAATATAATTTTCTGACCTCGCGTGTACTTAGAGTTGCATTATTTCGATGGAAGTGCACTCACAGCAATACCGTCCCGTCCCAGGTCTCAACACCAAACCAGAGTCACATTCATTGCTGATCATGCAAAACCATGCTGGATGGTGTGGGTTCAGTGTTCAGCTTTGGTGGAGCATCGCCTTATGCGGACTACTCTCAGTTCGCCGAAGTCCGCTCTGGGCATCTCCCTGCTTGTCTCACCACTCTATCTCGGCTAGAGATGACATCAGGTAAGCATGCAACCAAGCAGACCTGCTGTAGAAAGCTGTCATGCGGCATACCGATCTGTCATACCGGTCCATTGTCGCTAACAGCAACACCATCCCCAACAGCGTCAACGTCCATCCTGGTTGTCAGCCATGTGTCAGGAGACGGACTGTGGCTATGTGGCCTGGAGTGCCGCAGGGCAGTGTGCTGTCTCCTCCGCGTCTTACCGGCAGTCCGGGCAGGCCTGCGCTGCCGGGCAGCCCGTCCAGGCCGTCGGGGCCGGGCCGGCCGGCGGGGCCAGGCTCGCCGTCGCGGAAGCCCGGCGCGCCTGGTGCCCCCCTGTCGCCGGCGGTGCCCGGCGGCATGATCAGGAGGCCGGGGGAACCGGGCCAGCCGGGCGAGCCGGCCACGCCTGCGGCACGGCGGCGCCGGGTCACGGGAGAGGGGGAGGGGGCGCTGGAACAGGGAGGCTACCGGCTCATCACGCGGAGGACGAGAAGTGGTAAAAGTCGGGTCACTGCCGCCTCTTGAGTTTGGCCCTTGGGCAGGCCGCACATAAGCTGTAAAAAGTTTGTCCAAACTAAACGCAACATGTGATCATGATGTCACCCTGCAGCCAAGTGTTTTCAGATCTGAATGCGAATTTCATTTCGTTACTTCAGGCCACAAACGTTTCCCAAAACCGGCAAAGTGTCAACGTTCAAAACATACACTGAGTCTATTGGAAACATAAGCGATCTCGCGAAGCTAAATGAATGTGTAGCTTTTCTGAAACCTCGCGCGCAGTAAGCCATCACGAGAGTGTACAGCATGTCCTGTCGCATATTAATACCAACAGGTCAAGTGCAACCAGGTCAGCCCGGTCCGGCCGGTCCGGTCCGATCCAGCTCAGCCCGGTCCGGTCCGGTCCTGTCCGATCCAGTTCAGCCCGGTCCGGTCCAATCCGGTCTGGTCGAACCCAGCCGGTTCGGCCCGGTCAAGCTCGGCCGGCCTGGTCCGGTCCGGTCGAGATCAAGTCGGTCTGGTCCGGGCCGGCCCGGTCCGGCCCAGCTCAGCCCGGTCCGCAGCCCTGCCCACCTGCAGCGCCGGGCAGTCCATCGAGACCGGGGTAGCCGCTGCGGCCCACCAGGCCTGGCAGTCCCGGTGGTCGAAGGGACCGCGGGGACCGGCGGACCCCGTCCGGGCCGGGGCGGCCGGGCCAGTCCCGGCCAGCCCACGTTCGCCCTTCTGGCACGGCGACCCTGAGGACGAGCGGGACGCCAAGTCAGGTCACGGGTCAGGTCACAGGGTACGGGTACACAGTCAGGGCAGGTCATCGGGTCAAGCGCGGGTACAGGGTCAGCCCAGGTCACTGGGTCAAACACAGACATACGTCAGGTCGGGGCGGCGGCGCGACACGCTGCTTCAGTCATCCGGCGACGGAGACACATTCCGTGTGAAGGTGCAAGACACGCCACGCCGGGAGACGCAGGACAGGCGCTCTGAGCCCGTCCGTCCCGTTGAGACCAGTTCACCCTCACTTGGTTACCCCCCCCCCCCCCCATTCATCGTACCATCACTAGCAGACTCCCGCAACACACAGCAGGCAGCGTGGGTCCTGAGGCGCCGCCGGAGGGGGACGACGGGGGGGGGGGGGGGCGCTCACCTCCATATGGGGTACAGTCGTCACCCGGCGGGCCACTGGGGCCCGGCAGACCGTCCGTGCCGTCCGGACCGGGCAAGCCGTCCAGACCCGGCGGACCCGGCGGGCCCGACGGCCCGGGCGGGCCCGGTCTTGGGTTCCCCGGCACCAGACTTGCGGTGCCCTTGGTTCCTGCGGCGCGGGGCGGCTGGTCAGAGCTCAGGGATGCGGCGCGACGGACGGTTAGCACTCAGAGGGGCGGCGGAGGTGGGCTGGATCAACGCTACGGAGGACGCTCGTCCTTGCGGTGCCCTGTCAGCGCTCAGAGCGCAGGTGTGGCGACCGTTCAGCGCTCAGAGCGCGGTGCGGTGTCCGGTCAGCGCTCAGAGGGGCGGTGCGGTGCCCCTGTCAGCGCTCAGAGCGCGGTCCGGTGTCCGGTCAAGCGCTCAAGAGGAGCGGTGCAGGCACCGCCAGCTGCCGGCTTCTATCACATAGCACGCCTTCGATTGACATACATTGCAGTGTTGCCTAAATCAGCAGCGCATGGCGACTCTGCAGGTTCAATGAAAGACCGCGGCGAACACCCGGATAACCCAGTTTGATCCCGGCAGGCAAAGGCCAAGAGGTCAGCGATAAAATTCGTATTGAGCATTCGTGTTGGTGTTTCACTGACTCACTGCAGGTGTGCGGGCAAAAGGACATTTTACTGCAACTTAATGATCAGCGCTTGCGAGCTGTATTCACAGAGTACACACGGGGAACCAAAAGAACAACACATTGAATATTCTTTACAACATACCCCAAATTCTTCAAAGAGCTTTGAATTACCCCTAACCTAATTCAAACGCCTGCATGCAAACGTTTTGGTACATTTAGCGATATACAAACGAGGGATGATTTAAGCAAAAGTCATGGCCACGTGTAGAAAATAAAATTGCCGAAAAGATAGTTCTGATTTCGTATTTTATTTTGTACTTAACTCAATTTTTTGTTCTGGAGATGCAGCGCTAGCGCAGCGCAGCGCAGCGCTGCAGGGTTTTCCAAGTTATGGTACCTTTGTGTTAAAAAGCTCAGTTAAAAGGAGTCCAAAACTTAAAATCTACTACGCCCGACATTCAACGATCACGTCTCGGACGAAATAAATCAAGCGTAGCCACAATAGAAAATAATACGAACTAATAACGTATATCCAGGAAAATTGGGCGACGATGCCTTCCCGAAATGTTACCAGCCAGGCCTCCGACCCGAACGAACCACACAACCCGCCACCATCAGCAGACCTTACGCGGGACCGCCACCACGCAGCACGTCGATGGACAACACGCGGTCACCGGTCTGCCGGGCGGCGCTCGCGGCGGCTGGCGCGCGCCCACCGCCTGTGGACACTCGCCTTGGAAGCCGGTGTCTCCTCGGCGTCCGGGCAAGCCGTCGAGGCCGGGGCGTCCTGGCCGGCCGTCGGGGCCGTCGAAACCGCGGCCGGGGGCTCCCGGGAGGCCGCGGCGGCCGACGAAGCCCTCAGGGCCTCGGGAGCCCGCCGGACCACGGGGCCCGGCTTCGCCGCCCGGGCGGCCGTCGCGGCCCGGGGCGCCGGGTTCTGACGGTCCCTGGCGGCCCGGCGGGCCCGCGGGTCCGTCGGGCCCTGGCGGGCCCCGCCAGCCGCGCGGGCCCGGCCTGCCGTCCAGGCCGTCCAGGCCGGGCAGGCCGGCGGGGCCCGGCGCGCCGTAGTCGCCCTGGTCGCCGGGAGGCCCGAGCAGCGGGCCACCGATGCTCGGGTCGTAGAGGCCCTTGGGGCCTGGGTCACCCTGCAGCCCGGGCCTCCCCGGCACGCCGGCCACACCCGGCAGGCCCTTGAGACCAGGCAGGCCTGGCCGGCCGGTCTCGCCAGCCGTGCCCAGCACGCCCTTGGCTCCGAACTGCCCGGCGGGCCAGGTCGGCCCAGCTTGCCACGTGTCCGTCGCTGCCCCGCCAGCCGGGCGGTCCCTTGCGGCCGGGCGTGCCGGGCCAGCCGGGTTGACCGCCAGGGCCCGGTGGGCCATAGGCGCCCGGCTCTCCTGGCCAGCCAGCGGGCCAGGAGGCCCGGCGGCCCCTGCATCAGACAGCGGGCACGTCCGTCACTGCGCGGTCACAGCGGGGCACCCCGTCACACCGCACGGTCACAGCGGGGCACCCCGTCACCGCACGGTCACAGCGGGGAACCCCGTCACCGTACGGTCACAGCGGGGCACCCCCGTCACGCGCGGTCACAGGGGCACCCCGTCACCGCACGGTCACAGCGGGGCACCCCGTCACCGTACGGTCACAAGCGGGGCACCCCGTCACCGTACGGTCACAGCGGGGCACCCCGTCACCGTACGGTCACAGCGGGGCACCCCCGTCACCGCGCGGTCACAGCGGGGCACCCCGTCACCGCACGGTCACAGCGGGGCACCCCCGTCACCGTACGGTCACAGCGGGGCACCCCCGTCACCGCACGGTCACAGCAGGGACACCACCGCCACCGCACGCGGGGTCACAGCGGGGCACCCCGTCACCGCACGGTCACAGCGGGGCACCCCGTCACCGCACGGTCACAGCGGGGCCCCGTCACCGCACGGTCACAGCGGGGCACCCCGTCACCGCACGGTCACAGCGGGGCACCCCGTCACCGCACGGTCACAGCGGGCTACCCCGCATGACCGCACGTTCACAG